AATTTAATGTGCACTATTTCTGGCAGTCTGCTTAGGCCCCTAGTTCCATTTCCCACCACCATCAGAGGTCTATCAGGTAGGGTCAAGGGGCTGGCCTGTTTTTCTTCCAACATGCATGTTTTGGAATACCCTCACCTAAGGTACTAGGTTTGGCTGTCACATTTTTTGGCATTCCAACAGCAATTGGTTGCTACCATGCTGTTCTGTTGTGCCTAATTTTAAAAAATATTTTCTCACTTTTTATCATCTCCAAGGACTGTTGATCTGATGTTTCATTTTGTAGTTCACGTTGTTGTTGTTGTACTTCCAAGTCATTTTTTACTTATGACAACATTAAGATGAACCTATCATAGGGTTTTCTTGACAAGTTTCTTCAGAGAAGGCTTGCCATTGCCATCCTCTGAGGCTGAGAGAGTGTGACTTGCTCAAGCTCACCCAGTGCGTTTTCATGGCCAAGAGGAGATTTGAACCCTGCTCTCCAGAGTCATAGTCTAACGCTCACACCACTCTGCTACACTGGCTTATATTTAAAAGCCATTTTTAAAAAAGATCTGATACAGTCTTCTTGGGATTGTATCATTTCAGAATGCTTTGATGCATTAAAAACCACTCTACCAAGGCACAGAAAATGAACATGCCAATAAGATGGCTATGCTTTCCTGTTCACAACAGCATCCCATTCATGCAACCCATCATTGTGCATTCTGAAATGATACAGTACCTCCTTCATTGTCTGTCTGTTTTTTGAAGAGGGGATAATTCCTCACGTTCTGCAGAAGAGAACAGAAAAAGAATACATTATTTTCAGAAGAAAGAGGGTGTAGTGATGATGGTAACTTGAAGCATTTAAGAATTTATTTGTGGTAACATTTTCATTTTAAAAAGGAAAGCAAGCTGGTCAAAGGCTTACTGTGCTATTTAAAACAGGGCTGTAGGAATCAGGACTGTGGAGTCAGTATTGTGGACTCAGATTCATTAGCAATTTTGGGTGGAGTTCATAGTCAGTAGAAATGTTCTGACCCTGTCTTCAAAATAATAATAATAAAAATGTAATATCAAATGCCTAGTTTGTTACATATATACTTTCATAGCAATTTCGAAAAGTTTTCTTGTTCAGAAATTTTAATCAAATACATATTTTTATGTTCTATCAAGCTATGTAGCCTGATGATTCATGTGGTGGTGATGTGTGCCTTGTGTGACCATGTTACTACAGGAAATTAATGAAGGCACTGGAATCAGAGTTGGACTGTAGAAAAACGAGGTGCTGGTGTCAAAGGTTTAGTGTATCTACGCCACAGCCCTGGTAGGTATGCTGAAACATCCTCAAGTGGAAAACAAAATATGCTAAGAACTAAGCTCTTAACACTTAGATGACAGTGTGTGTTATCTGTACATATGTACGTATATGTGTCTACACAAAAACTGGGTCATGGGACAACTATCCCTTAAGCTGGATGCCACATTGTTGGTACTCATTCACTCCAGCACAGGTAGATGTTTTGCTTATACTAATTGTGCTCAGGCATTCTGTAAAAGTGCTATTTAAACAAGTGAAAAGGGGAGCATGGCAGACCAAACCTCCACCTATCCTCAGTCTGAGCTTGTGAAAAGTGACAAATCTAGAGTTTCTGGTATACTTGGAGGCTTGTCATGGGAATCTCAACTAGAGTTTCCTTATGAGGAGAGCCTCCACAGGTAGAGGAAAGCTGTCCTTTTTATACTCTCTGCTTTTTTTGTTATCATAATGACTGGGATCAGGGGACAGGGGTTAGCACACTCTCCTTATGCATTTAGCAATAGCAATAGCATTTATATTTCTATACTGCTTAATAGTGAACTCAGCACTCTCTAAGCAGTTTGCAATCTGTAAGCCAATTGCCCCCAGCAAGCTGGGTACTCATTTTACAGACTTATGAAAGGATGGAAGGCTGAGTCAACCTTGGAACCCTAGGATTGAACTCACAACGTTGTGGCTGCAATACCAGCATTTAACCACTGCGCCACCAGGGTTCCTTTAGTAAGCACTTCTACAGAATACCCAAATTATTTCATGTGTATTTTTAATCAAACGCACGAAGTAATGAAATGACACCAGGACTCACTGATTAGAAGCTTACAGTAGTGTTAATTAATGGGGCAGATGGAGGAGGTGGCAGGATCCTTAACGAAATTCACAAGTGCCACGTGTATGGGGTGAATTAATTTCCCCCCAGTCTCCATTCTTGTTGGATATATGTATGGTATGGAGAATGATTTAGACTGCTGAAAAGGAAAGATATAAGCACCTCTTACCAGGAATTTGTAGCACTACTGATAAGGATAGGAGTATACCTCTCTCACACACATACCACTTCTAATAAATATTTAAAGAGTATTTGCTTTGACCCTCAATCTACTTGTGTAGTAGTACTCTGCTTTTCTGAAGATACAGACAGAGTCTGATGCTGCTCATAACAACTTTCACTCACCTGGGAAACACACTTTTTTAAAAAACAGAATGAAATATTTCTCTGAAGATGCCAGCCACAGATGCTGGCGAAACGTCAGAAAGAAACTCTTCTAGAACATGGCCACACAGCCGGAAAAACCCACAAAAAATTAAGAATGAAATATTTCTTTAAGGATAAGCAATATGAATAACTCACCTTAAACTACTGTTTGTTATACAAATAGAGCTAGAGTGTGCAGAATGCTGAACTCAAGGCTAAAATTAAATATATACTGAACACAGAAACCCAGATGTTGACTGTAATTATATGAAATAAACTGTTGGGTTTTGTTTTTTACAGCAATAGTTAATGGTGCAGTTGTAGCTCTGAGCTGATTTCCTTACAGCTCAAAACCAATCAGGATAATCATCCACTTCCTAATATACTGGAAAGGAAAGTTATTTACAAATTTCTGAAACACTGTTGCAATAACAGTAATTAATGTCTACAGAGACTTTATCCACTTGCATGTAGAGCTCCCTAGAGCAGCAGTTCTCAGTCCTTAGATCTCCAAATGCTTTTGGACTTCAACACCCAGAAGCATGTTCAATGATCAGAGAGTCTGGGAGCTGAAGTTCAAAACATCTGGACAATGAAAGATTGAGAACTAGTGTTCTAGAGACTTTTTTTGTGTTTAGCAACAACCAATTTAGCAACAATCCCATTTTTCATAACTTCTAATAACCTCACCTAGTGTTCTAGTGAAAAAGAGCTGCCTTCTGGGTCTGGAGGCTCTCCTGGCTGGGCAGAAAGTGAGTTGCCTTTCTTTCATGCCCAGCCAGCAGTTCTGCCAGATCCAAAAAGGCTGAAGGCTGGCAGAAGCAATTCACTCCCACCAGCAGCCACTGAGCTGCCTTCCAGGTCTTGTCAGCTCTGCTGGCCTGGCAGTAAAGAGAGTTTACTAGCTCTGCCGGACTTATAAAAGGTGGTTGAAGAGAGGAGGGGGATATTAAAAATGATCTGCAGCAGGTGTCAAATACACTAGGTACTCCATTGCAAAGAGCATGAGCTATTTCAGAGGGAGCCATCCAGATATTGTACTGCAACTCCCATCACCCCGGCAACATAGCCAATCTGAGGGATCATGGGAACTTCAGTCCAACAACAGCTAGCTAGAGCAGTACTACTCAAAGTGGTGGCCTGTGGACCAGTCCACAAGCTGCTGGTCTGCATCAAGCTTCCAGGAAAGAGAGTCAGGACCAAAACACACTGCAGAAATAATCCAGTTTGAGATCACTTTAACTGCCCTGGCTCAATGCTAGGAAATTCTGGGAACTGTAGTTTTGTGAGACATTTAGCCTTCTCTGTCAGAGAGCTCTGGTGCCACAATAAACTACAGTTTCCAGAATTCCTTAGCACTGAGCAAGGGCACTTAAAGCGGTCTCAAACTGGATTATTTCTGCAGTGTGTTTTGGACTTTCATTAATCAACAGGCACAAATATGGTGCTGGTTGCTGGAACAGTGGGGGGAAGCCTTGCTAGCTCCCTATATCAGACAGTTATAGAACTAAGTATACATGCCTACTCTCTCTATTAGTCCGACATATTCTATTTATGTTGTTTCTAGAGCTTGTACAATTTATTTTTTAGGCTATACCTTCCAAAATCCCTCAGTCCTTCCAGAGTCACTCACCATAAAAGCCAGGAGAAATCTGAGATTTCTCAGTGAGTGAAAAACACTCACTTAAGATAAAAGAATTCCAAGTCCAGGAATTTGTTTTGAGTGCCAGAGATCAAAGTCCTTCAACAAAAAAATCCACTTCTGGTTATTAAAATCTTTCTTTACTTCTGTAGTACAATTTGTTGGCAGGGGATGGAGGGAAGACCCATTTTGCTGCTACTGTTGTTTAAAAAAATGGGAGCCAGAAATTCTTGCTGATCTTCTGTAAACTGCCCAGAGATCTATCAGAAGAATGCAATTTACTTTCTGTCAATCCCTGTGCTAAACTATGTTAATTGTAATTTATCTGGAACAGTCTCATTAAATAACAATTATTTAATGAGCATTCCAGTTGAAATTAAATGTGGCTATGGCATGATGAAAGGATGGAGAGAAGCCAGACAAGCCCTCTAATCTGCCAGGATTGATTTCAGCTTTGGACACTCATTCTATGCTATAAAAATAAACACCCTAGAAAGCATCTAAGGTATGTTCAAACCACATCCACCTTCACTTTTCACAGCGTATGTGTTCACAGAACAGACAACAAAAATTCAAGAGAATTCTGTCTTATTATTCACAAGCAGCATGTTTCTGCATGCTCCCATATCACTCCTACCTAGTCCATCCCACCAGAAAGAGCTGCTAAACAAACTAGGGACGTTATCACACGGGGGCAAATCTGCTGGTTAATCCAC